GTATTCCAAGTGTGGCCTTACCAAGGCATTGTAAAGTGATATTAATACTTCACGTGATCTTGATTCTATCCCTCTGTTAATGCAGCCTAGCACTGTGTTGGCTTTTTTGGCAGCTGCAGCACATGGCTGGCTCATATTTAAGTGATTGTCCACTAGGACTCCGAGGTCCCTCTCACAGTTACTACTATTGAGCAAAGTACCCCCTATACTATACCTGTTCATTTGGTTTTTCTTGCCTAAGTGTAGAACCTTACTTTTTCACCATTGAATTTCATTTTGTTAGATAGTGCCTTTCTTTTGCTCTTCCTTAGCTTGTGTTAGCTTTTATATTCCTTCTAAAACTTTCAATAACATTTATTTAAAAAAATGGAAGCAAAGGGTGTTTTTCTCAGGGCAAATCTGAGGGACGAATTGGTGTACCTTCCTCAGTTGTGTTAATGTTTGACATAATATAGGCTAGAAATCATGACAATTAAAATTAATAAAATGAAGAAATCCAGTAAATATGACCGTGATTAATGAGGGACAGTGTTTGCTTCTCACTAGGATGTAGAATCAATGGGTTGATTTTTGATAACTCCTTTCTTTACCAGAGGAAAATGTGGCCAATTATCTTTGGAACTGGGCTTCACTTCCTTTCCTCTCAGTTATGGGAAAAAAGAAGAGGGCGGACCAGGAAATCCTTGAAGAAATTTGTCCATTTTGATCTCATACCACGCCTATCTAGAGACTCAGATATTGGCTCAGAAAACGAGAGCCCATCAGTTTAACCATCCACCAACTCAATCTCCCCAGTTGAAGAACTTCACAAGGTGAGAGGCTGAAGGCACTCTTTGTAAGTGTTGGTTAGATACTCTCCATTAAAGACAGGACTTTTGAAGTAGCAATAGAGCTTTTCATGAATTGTATGCAGGGAGCTGCAAAGAAACTTTGCAAGTAGACTAGGATCAAAATTAAATTATGGAACTCCAAATATTTGCTTTGTTTCTTTCTTTCTTTCTTTCTTTTCATTTCAATCTTTTTTTAAAAAAATAATAATCCTGGTCTACATATTACATTCTTCACGCAGTGCTTTTGCAAATTGACAATTTTCAGCTCATCCCTCTGAATCAATAAATGCCCGATTCTATGGAATCTACTCTCACAGAAAGTCTAATGGTCTTCTGCCCACTGATGGTGGACTATCAGTTTCATAGCTTCAAAACGTATTATTGACACCAAAGAACTGGGAATTTTCTCCGCATTGAACAGCCAGTTTCCTGACACAGGAATTACCTTCTACTCAAAAACACAAACCTTATTCAATCAGGTGTGGTGCCTCCATGTACCTTTATATTTTTTAAGTAAGCTGTGTTCAGGAGAGGTGTGAATCAGCTCAGATTGTCTTTTACAGATTAACTGGAAGCTTAATGTGTTACCATTAGAGCCATAGTGGTGCAGAGGTTAGAATGTTGTAGTAGTAGTAGTAGTAGTAGTAGTAGTAGTAATAAAACAACAACAACAACAACAACAACAACAACAACAATAATAATAATAATAATAATAATAATAATAATAATAATAATAATAATAATAATAATAATAATAATAATAATAATAATAATAATAATAATAATAATAATAGAGTTGGAAGGGACAATGGAGGTCTTCTAGTCCAACGCCCTGCTCTAGTCCTCTGGTAGTTCCCCAGTGCTCCAGGATATTTGAAAGATATAGTTCAGTGGTTCTGAGATCATATCTGCCAGAACCTTGGGGTGTAGTCCATCTGGTCCTGGTGATTTTAACTCATCTAGGGTGGACAGATGCTCACTTATCATTTTCTTGCCTATCTTAACTTGTGTTCTAATCCCTTTTTTACGGTACTCTTTTTGATAGGTTGTACTGTTTTTTCCCTTTGTGTAAAGACGGACGCAAAAAAACAGGGTAAGTAGTTCTGCTTTCTCCCTGTTGCTTGTCACCTTCTTGCCACTTTCTCCCACTAATGGACTGATCATTTCCTTAACTTTTTTCTTGTTTTTTTTCTACACGTTGAAAGCTTTTTTTGTCACAAACCTTAGTTTATTTTGAGCCTTAGCTTTCCTCATTTCAATTTTGCAGTGCAGGCTATTTGCTGATATTCTGACTTAATGATGTGCCCTTCTTTCCACTTTTAATACTTGTCCTTTTTGTCTTTCAATTTATCAGAGAGTTCTTTATGCAGCCATGCTGGTTTCTTTTGAGAACTGTTATTTTTCTTCTTTGTTGGTATTGTGCTAGACTGGGCTTTTATAATCTCACTTTTCAAAATTTCCCAAGCTTCTTGAGTTGTTTTCCCTTTGAGGATTCTCATCCATGGAATCCTTCCCAAGATCTCTCTAAGTTTATTGAAATTAGCTCTCTTAAAGTCCAAGACTCTAGTCTGACTATGTTTTATTGCAGTGATGGCAAACTTTTTAGAGACTGAGTGCCCAAACTGCAACTCAAAACCCACTTATGCATCATCGAGTGCCAGGTGGGTGTGGCCCATTGGGTGGGCGGGGCCCATTGGGTGGGCTTGGCTGAGGTGGTAACGGCAGATTGAGTGGGACTAAAATGTTCAATCAATCAATTCCAACTTTGCAAGATTTTTTTTTCCGCAAGAAGTTGAAATTGACTGATTGAACCTTTTTTTTTTTTTTTTTTTGCACATGGCGGTGGAGGCCTAAAGCGAAAAGGTTTTATAAAACCCAGCTGAAGGCCTAGGACTGGGGCAACGGCACGTGTGCCCACAGAGAGGGCTCTGAGTGCCACCTCTGGCACCCGTGCCATAGGTTCACCACCACTGTTCTATTGCTTGTGCTTGCATAATGTTGAATTCCAATATTGCATGATCACTCCCCCCAATGTTCCTGTGGCCTCAACACCTTCTATCATTTCATTTCTGTTAGTGACAATTAAGTCCAATATGGCCAATCCTCTAGTTTGTCTCCCAGTTGATATCAGGGTAATTAAAGTCCCCCATTACCATTGTGATGTGCTTCCTACATACCTTAGTTAACTGACTAGCAAAAAGTTCATTTATTTCCTCTGTTTAGTTGGGTGGCCTATAGTATACACCTATGGCAATGTCATTTTTCCCCTTTTATATTGACCCAAATGCATTCAAGACAGTTTTCATCATTGTTGTGCTCTATTTCTGTAGAGATGTAGTTATTTCTTATATAGAGAGCAACTTCACCTCCTCTTTTTTTGGACTGTTTCTTTTAAATAATTTAAATCCCTCTAGTTTTGTGTTCCATTTGTGGGTTTCATCCCACCAAGATTCCGTAATGGCAACAATATCATATCTGCCCTCATTTACCTGAATTTCTAATTCACCCTGCTTGTTGCTTATACTCTATGCATTGATGTATAGACATTTGAGTCCTTTATGACTGACCCTGTGTTTACTTTCTACATAACCTCTGTGGTGCCTGAGTTCCCCTATTTCCTTACCACCTGTTTGATTAGTGCATTTGGTGTGGCACTCACTATTAAAAGCTTGATTTTGCTTGACAGAAAGAATGATAGTCTGATCTGCACACACATCTATGTTACATGCACTGATAAACCCATTAGTTTTAGATTCCCGGGGACAGGAATGTTCTATACCAATTAATTCACTGTCTCCATTGTTCAGTTTAAATATTTCTCCAGAAAATCTGTGAATTTAATGCCAAGTTACTCAGTCCCTTTTTTTGCTGGATGCAAACCATCTCTTTTGTACAGTTTTTCATTGGACCAGCTGCAGATATTGTGACTAATATAACCAAATCTTCCTCTTTACACCACTCCTTTAGCCACATATTGAATTCTGCTATATGCCGGCCTTTTCTATTTTGTACCTTATACACTGGTAAAACCTCTGAAAAACTAAGCCTATAGCCTATCCTACTAAGTTCCTGTCCCAAACTCTGGAAATCATTCTGCACAGAGAGTACATCTTTTGGGGATAGATCATTGGTGCCAAGATGTACAATAGCATCCACATCACAGTGGGTGCTATTGCAAGTCGACTCTGCCCACAGTCAGGAGTTCGATTCTGACCAGCTCAAAGTTGACTCAGCCTTCCATTCTTCCGAGGTTGGTAAAACCAGGACCCAGATTGTTAGGGCAATATCCTGACTCTGTAAACCGCTGAGAGAGGGCTGTAAAGCATTATGAAGTGGTATACAGTATAAATCTAGGTGCTATTGTTATTGCTATCAGCTTAGAAGAGCAGATAATGTTTCTTCTTCTGCATTTGCTTTAAAATGGGGCATCAAAAATTGCGTAAGGGATTACAAAATTAGGTCTTTAAAGATGGATCAGTGATTGCAAAGCTCAGCATTCCAAATATAGGAAAGGGGACATAAAAGGGAGAAAGGGGAAGCAGGGTGATATGGGAAAGCAAAGTCTCTTAAGCTCTTCCAGGTATGTTCAAACCTGTCTCACCATCCATTTGGGAATCCTTCAGCATTCCATCAATCTTTCAGAGCCAGGGATAGAAAAAGGGTGCAGGTTAACCAGGAACTACTAAGATAGGTTTGATCCAGGGAAGTTAAGTGCCCCGTCTTCTTCCTTCCCTTTTGATAACATCTCTCCTGTTTTACACTTAAGAGGGGACATCATCTGGACCCTCTTTTTTGTTGTTGATTCTTGATTCAGAATTTCCCTATATGACACTTTACTTATGTCAGCTTTTTGTAAATATTGTGCTAGCTGTCTCCTTCAACACTTTGTATATACTTAGTTGGAAAAGCTGGAAAACAAGGTTAGCGCTTCAGTTTCAGTCATGACTGCCATGCTGACATTTTTGATCCCCTGCTACTATGATGCCCTTGGAAGCCAATATGTGTTTTCTCCTCTCTATTTCATTCATTCCTTTTATTCCTTTCTCCTCAAACACTGGGATGAAACACTTGGATTTGACACAGCCAATACAACTGCTTACACTCCTCCCAACCTCACCAAATGTTGTCATCTCCTGTTCTTAAATGACAGAAATACTGTATACTCAGAAGCTTTGTATATATGTGCTTTATTAGTGTTGTATCACCACTGAGAAAAATCAGGAGAATGGGGTAAAGGTAAAGTTGTCTATTCTAAGAGGAAATGTGGATAGGAAGGGGAAAGATCTGGTCTGTCATTCTGAATGCTTCAGAGGCAGTAAAATCAACAGGGTGTCAATCAAATTTGCAGGTATTTCGTAGCTGCTTCTGGTTGCATCCCAGCTGCGTTTGCTCAGATGGCTCTACAGCTGGTACTTACAGATGTAAGCATTAAGACTGCTACATGACATATCATTCCACAATTTAAAATCTAAAATGCAAAAGATAGGACAGAATTTAATTCTTAATTCCTTCAACAGTGACCTAGAAAATATTGTCATCCTTTAAATTTCACGAAAAATCTCCATGGACCCCAAGAGAATTTCCCAGAAAAAGCCAAAAGAATGTTGACTTCCAGGGAATAAATGGAGAACTGGAGACAGTTATTGATATTCCACCACCACCAGCACCCCAAAAAATATTTTCAATTGCTATTGTAAAATTAAAAGTCCCTCTCTTTGTGGCAGAAAGAGATTTAGGAGTGAGGAAAAAGGGAAGGGAAGGGAAGGGAAGGGAAGGGAAGGGAAGGGAAGGAAAGGAAAGGAAAGGAAAGGAAAGGAAAGGAAAGGAAAGGAAAGGAAAGGAACTCATATGAATCTGTTTCTCCTGATCTCACAATTCCAAAACCACTTTTCAATCTAGAAGTGAGAGATGTAGGCGCTGACCTTAATTGCCCATGATTATTAAGCTATATAAAGAAAATTCCTGAGTTAAAAATAGAATACGGAACACATTAACTACAGATACACAAATGAATGCATAAATAAATGCTAGTAACTGACAGTGGATCCTGCTGTTGTAATGGCAATCCCCCTTCTGGATTATTTTGGCTGAACTAGCCATTTTTTCACATCAGGCAGAGGATCTGTCCAAAGTACTTGGCTTGATCCAAAACATTTACGCAAAGGCAGGCAAGATCCCACTAAGATCTTGCACGGTAAAAATTTCAAGCATAAAAAAATGTTTAACTAATAATTGTCCTCCCCTTTCATTACACTTTGGACCTGCTCTGTGAAGTGCCTACCATGTTCTTCCTAACCAGAGGGACAGTTTTGAGCATTCAGTAGGACGTGGCATGTTCATTTGAAAAGATTTAGGCCAGTTTTCGCCATCTCGTTGCTTTCCAGATCTGTTGAACATCCATTGGTGCTGGAAAGTTTATTCTGATGCATCTGATGGGTACCAGTTTTGGAAAGGCTAGACTGTATCTGGATAACAATTATCCAGCTTTGCCCTCATGGAATGCTAACTATTACTCTTAAAAGGCTATTATGAAAAAGAGAGAGAGATTGAGAGAGAGAGGACATCTTCAGTTTTCAATTATGAAAAGCTCTGTGACACATATGGGCTCCATTCCTCTGACTGATGGGATGAATCCAAGTTCAAAAAAACAAACTCTAATTTTCATGATTGGCTCTGACTTGAAAACTTGGCTCATCAGAGAACACCAGGTAAGAAGTGTTGGCTTACTCGAGTCATGTGTCAGCTCCCCACAGTGCTCACTCTGATCATAGTTGTCTGGCTGGTGTTCCGTCCAGACTCTGTAGTTGTAGGTGGATTCATCAACCCATCTCCATCGCCTTTTCTGTTGATGAAAGACAGACCACAATCACATCTTAAGAAGGTAAGTAACCACCTGGAATGATAAACTACACAGATTAGCTGAAAGAGTTGAGTGGTGGGCAGCTCTTAGATACTGGCTATGATGAAGAAGTTCAAGCAATTTTCCAAGGGGTCAAGTGACCATTTTTGTAGCGCATATGCATTAAAATAAAAAATCACAAGGCATCATATCATGACCAATTCATGACAGTGAATGTGGTGGAAATTTATATTCGCCACCATCACAAACTTATATATGTTGCATCTAACATTCAGCTCTATGAAAGTTTGGATTGCCAGAGGTGAATTTTGTTAAATATTTTGGGCTATTGCAAACACTCTTCTCCCACCGTTCATATTTATCTTAAAAGTAGAGGTGGAAGGCCACTTACAATGAACTTTTGTTATTATACTGTCAGGATGAAGTGGTTCCCCCCTTCAAAAAAAGAGGGGGAATGAAATACCTAGCACTGGTTATAATTTAGAAGCCTTCTTGATATCACAGAAGTCAGTGCAGGATATGGACTAGCTGAGGCCCTAAGCTCAATAAAGCTTGGAAGGGCCCATTGTTAAAGATATGCACCAGAAATGCATCTGAAATCTAAAGTGTAGCTAAAGAGGAATGTGACACAACACAAAATACACACACACACACACACACATACACAGCATATGTGTATCCTGCCTCTTTTAATATCCTGCAGAATCTTTTATTCTGGGGAGGGGGAACTTCTCAAACCTCAAATATAGATTATTTAGTTTATGCCTAAATCCAGCACTGATTGCAGTTATGAGCATCAACAAACAATCTTAGGTCCTAACAAGACATTATCCTCAGCAAATAGCTCACCCAAAATAATTGAAGTGTGTGTGTAAAATTACTGTGTGAAGAATGCAAAATGTGGATCAGGAATGAAAAAAAAAATCAAATAAAATGAAACATGTCGGACTCACCCCAGAGATATCATAGAGCCCCATCCAGACACTGCTAAGGGATCCCTGTTTGTCTCTGATGTATACAGACAAAAGTGAGGACTCTTGGCGGCTGAGGATAGAGGCAAGGTGACATCCTGGGCCATAGCTCTGGCACTCAAGCTAGGAACAGAGGGAAGACAAAAAGATGGCACTCCATGCTCAGGAGTGGGGTTGTGTCAGACTTTAAACCTTGCACATCTCCATTTGTGTGATTTTGGTTTCTCAGGAAACGTTTCACCACACCTGCACTGGTGAAAAAAATGGTTCTTACCTCAGCAGCATCCCAATCTAATTTTTCATCAAAATATCCATAGCAGTTCCCCTGTTTCTTCAACCAGTCTCTGGGGCATGACGCAGCCTTGGCTGCAAAGAGACAAAAGCAAAATATTCATTTTCTAGTGCATCTCAGCAATACAGTTTCAGAATGCTGGGAGATTACCTGACCTGTATAGGACACATGAAAGTTTCTGAAGACAGAGCTTACTTATCTAAATTGTATAATTCTCTATGTTTCCCATATCATGATTAATTTGGGGGGGGCTCACCTCCCAAAAAAGGATTGGTGATCAAGATTCCAAAGCAACAGAGGCCGATATATATGGAAAATCCCATCTTCTGGTTGCCCTTTAGGAGAAAAGAGAAATAGATGTGATAGAAGGATTAATAGAGTGGCAATTCATATTAGCTTGCTGAGAAAGAAGGCAAATTTTTGAGGTCCATCATTTAATTCTGAACCTAGTTTACCAGCATACTTTGCTATTGCGGTGTCTAGCATATAACCTATGGAAAATTCTATTTCTACTTCAAAAAGTTCTCTCCTTATAGCAATGCCATGTCACTGTACAGATAGAAGAGAGTATCTAACCAGCACTTACCAAGAATGCCTTCAGCCTCTCACCTTGCAAAGTTCTTCAACTGGGGAGGTTGAGTTGGTGGACGGTTGAACTGGTGGACTCTCACTTTCTGAGCAACCATTAAATAGTCTCCAGATGGGCCTGGCATGACATCAAGATGCACAACTTTCTTCAAGGATTTCCTGGTCTACCTCTTCTTTTTCCCATAACTGAGAGGAAAGGAAGTAAAGCTCAAATTGAAAGATAATTGGCAAGTATTTCCTTAGATAAAGAAAGGAGTTATCAAAATATATACACATTGATTCTACATTCTAGTTTGAAGCAAAGACTGTGGCTTATTAATCATTCATCATATTTACTTGTTTTCTTTATTCTATTGGTTTTAAGTATCATGGTTTCTAGCTTATGTCAAATATTAACACAATTGAAGAAGATAATTTCTTACAGAAACACCGATTCTTCCCTCAGATTTGCCCTGGGAAAACACACTAAGCTTCCATTTTGTGTGTTTTGTTTCTAATTTTTATTAAAAGTTTTACAAGAATATAAAAGCTAACACAAGTTAATGAAGAGCCAAGCAAGCAAAGATAAAAGAAGGAAAAAAGAAGAAAGATAAGACAAACAGTACATACAGACAGAGCAAAAAGAGAAGGGAAAAAGCAGCTTCCAATTTCTTCTACAGCAAATATTATATTTTACAATTTTGACTCTTACTTTATGATTACAGGAAAAAGAACTCGCTTTTTTCTATCTATTTTTTTTCTTCTGATATCAATAAAATATCAATTTTAGCAAAAATTAATTATCTGACAGCCATTCATGACCATAATGTTATTATGACATGTGATATGTAGATTATCCTGATATACATAAACAACTTTATTTTAGTAACTGAGAAGGAAGTCTGTGCAGAAAGTTCAGAAGGAAATAAATGCAGGAAATGCAGGGTGTAATCACATTTATTGACAGTGGCCTTCAAGCAATAACCATGTCAGAGATTTGGGCAGCAATATAAATTAAATCCTTACATATATATAAAAAACACCATGGTGCAATAGTGAATAAACTGAAAGCAGCGAGTGACGTTTGGTAGTGTACTGAGGCTACAAAAGGTATAAATGGACCACTTGACATCCTGGAAACCTCAGTTGACACAACCACTTTGATATTGCATCCTGATTACAAATTAATATACAAAGCTACCTAATTATGGGATGAGGCCAACGGTCCAGTTCTGACCACAATTGAGCTGGAACGTCCATCACTAAGCAATGTAGTCATTGTGAGTTGAATCCAACTTTTCAACCTTTTTGCTACAGTTGTTATGCCAATCACATGACTGTTAAGCAAATCCTTCTTCTTTCATTGGCTTGGCTTGTCAGAACCGACCCACCCACCCGGAAAGATTGCAAAACACACACACCCGGGGTACAACAACTGCCTTAAATATATGCCAGTTGCCAAATACCCACCTTTTGATCACATGACCTTGGAGATGCTGTGATACATATAATAATAATAATTATTATTTCATTAACTTTAACTTATATGCCGCCCTTCTCCCCATGGGACTCAGGGC